GAAGTTTATTTATGTCATTTGCCTCTCTCCCTAATAATAATTGGGAACCTGGATGTTACTCGATTTGCAGATGGGGTTCCCAGGCAACGGTTAGCTAATACAGTTGGCGAATTGTCCGGTCCACTCGGATTATTACTTGATATATGGGTCAAAAAACTTGTTAACTTAGGGTGGCAGTTATTGTGGTGACGACAGTTTCGACACCTTAAATAAATTCACGCCATCCATGAGCACGAGGGCAACCACAAGTATGTGTGTGTGTGTGTGTGTGTGTGGTCATGGTGGATTTATCAACACGCACCCTCAAGTATGATACTATCACCTGGCTGTGAGAAAAGTTCATTAGCCACTCAGGTGGTTTAGTCACGACCGCCCTGAAACTACAGTGTAACGAATCACCCATGCCGTCAGCTTAAGTCACCCACCACACACAAGGTTAAAATGTGTCGATGTATATGTCTCTTTATGCCCCTTTTTTGATTAGTTGGTTGTTGATGGTGGCTGTACTGCTAAAAATATCTAGGATTGAACTCTGTACCATCTTCGTGTCCTCCATTGCCTGGCTTACATTACGTCATTGAGCAATGAGCATCTACAATTTGGTTGTGATCCAAAGCCATTTTCTTAGCTTTATCTACTCGTATCAGTACTTGTTTCATATAATTGATAAAAAAGGGCGCAGGTGTCCCGCTATGTTATTCTGTCAGATATCCTTGAGACTGATGATACTTGAACGAGTGAGTTTTAGACATAATATTGTTCCTGATAATATTTTATTTTCTTCCTGGTAAGTTACACGAGTAAAAAAACCTGAGATCCGCTGAGTCCTGGTCTCAGTTATGCCGATGGATTTCACATCACAGTACCGGGCGTGCAGTAATGAAGACTGACTAAAGTACTCTAGTGAATATGACTAGTCACTAGCCCCTCATTCAGAACTATATTCTTCTGGTGCAGACTTTGTAAAGTTGAATACGGATTTATAGTACCTTAGGCTACAAGTGAAGACCGTGGAAGACACTTGAAATAATTAAGAAGTCAGCTTTAGACACACTAAAAATGAGAGATGTAGCGGGCGGTCTCAAGGTTTAAGTATTATCTATCACTGAGGAAACTTTAGTATAATATGACATTGGGACAGTAGAGTCAGCTAAAATTCAAGGCAGTAAGGTGTTTTACCCCAGGAGTAGCGCTGAGCCTCGGTATGGTCTGATGATAAGACTGCACTGGTAACTGTCTGAATAAGAGACAGTCCACATTAGGAAGAAAAATCACTAAGTAGGTTGAGGATAATATTGCTGTAAAAACGATCTTTCTCCTGATTTTACACTCTCACTAGCCCAGGTAACCTTTGATGTAGCCTTGTGTTACACATTACAGTATACTTATGGGTGTCAGCCTTGGTGAGTGGTCTGAGCAGTTGCATGCGACTGTTCGCTCAAGTAACATATTTTCCTTTACTAACTAACAAATTCTAGTTGGTGACCCCCTTAAGAGATGGGAAGGATTCTGGGTAATGTAAAGTACCTGAAGTTTTACGTTTATGGCACTTCTAATCTGAAATCTATATTCAAAATAAAATAGTTGAAACACAAAATTTGAGAAAGTATCGGGACAACACAGGTCAGTTTAGGCAGAGATCCGATCAAAGTAAAGTGGTGACCGCATCCATTTACCAGAGAGCCATCGCAGAGATGGAAACGGGTCAGCGGGTCACGGGTCAGTGGGTCACTTGGGAGTGAATTCTAGTCGGGTCAAGGTTAGTCACGTGTCATATGGGTGACCCACCTGACCCGGGGCGGGTCAAGATGGGTCAAGTCTGGGATTTCATCGGTCAAAAGTTTCTTGTCGAAGTGTATGAAAAGTTGTTAATATTTTACTTGTCAACAGCCTATTTGATGGGTTACAGGTAAATATTTACTGCAATGAAACTTTTCTATTACACTGTTCTTAGCACTGGAATATAATCACCGGCAACACAGAATTTTCGTAAGGTAGATGGGCACACTGTTATTTCTTGAGACCAGTAAATCTATAAATGTATTAAAACAGCCATTACTGTTATATGGATAAGTTAATTTTGTTATTTTTCGTAATTCGCATCAGAATAGTCATTAACGTTTTAAGTTAAAGCTGTTTTTTTCTATTCTACATATTTGGGACTATTATTACTTTAATGAAAAAAATGGTATTAGACGTTATTATTGTTTTATGGAAAATCTTAATTTTTTGTAGTAGAATAAAGATGTTTTATGATATGACGTCTGATTACCACCGACGTAGTTTTGGAAGTGTTCCCAAATGTATACTGGTCAGATCAGATGTCAGATATGCTTCACGAGGGGGCTAGTTTATTGGGCACCCCTCTGCATCCTATGCAAAGCGAAGCGCAAAAGCGTTTACAGCGCCAAACAGGGAAGCAAGCGGAGCTCATGCGTGCCTTCTTGACTCATGCATTAAAGACGCAAATGCTTGAGGGGCCATGGGTTTTGTCACCAAGTTACATGTAGTAAAAAAGGATGAGTGTGTGGTGTGAGAATTTCCGGTACAATTTATCTGTTTATGGCAAAGTGTGGCAGTTCCATAATAATGTCAAGTGTCATGCCTGTCACTAAGAGGAGGGATTAATTTGGTCAGGGAGGGACGAGGTGTTGGTGGCGGCAGATCTTTGTTGGTTAAACGCGTCACGGGTCAGGTGGGTCACAGGTCAGGTGTCTGGAGGGTCATATGGGTCACGGGTAGTCAAGGTTGGTGACCTATGCCTGCACCGAAAGTCGGAACCTCCTTGTCATCACTTCTACGCTAGCGAGGCTCAAATTACCCTGTCTCTCTTCCCGTGCCGCCCAACACACCCTAGCCGCCGTCGCCAGGCTAGAGCAAACTGGTGATATCCGTGTCAAGTTTACTTGGATCCCGTCACATATAGGAATAACTGCTTGTGACACTGTTGATCGGCTTGCCAAAGAAGCGACAAAGAAGAGGACACTGAAGCCACCCTTGCCTTCTCCCTCAACCATCTCAAATCTCGCATACACGCCACGTAACGAGAAGCATTCGACGAACACTGGACACACCTGAAATATCGGTGAAGTGCCACACTACGCCATTATGGCGCAGTAACCGGTAATGACAATCGCCACTACAAATAGTATCAACCTCTGACTCGGTCTCAACAGATTATGTACATGAGACTGCGCCGAAGATACATGTACAGTTCCCATAGGAGTTCTGTAGATTGGCAACCCTGAGCCTGGCCGCACTATTTGTAAACTTTGTGGTCAACCCAACTCTCACACCCTCTCTCACTACATCCTCACTTGCTCAATGACCTCGTCCTACAGGTCCCCAGCCGTTACCAACACCTCGTCCCTCCTTGACCGAATATCCATCCTCCTAGAGACAGGTCTGGCACTTGACAATATTAGGGACCTGCCACGTTTTGCCATAAACAAATGAATTGTACCGGGAAATTTCCCCCCACACACTCTTCATCAAGCATGAACTCCGCATGCTTCCCTGTTGGGCGCTGTAAGCATCTCAGAGGGCACTACTCAGTAGAGTGTCCATACCTGGAGTTGGCGGACGCCCACCCCACAAGGGGTTATAACCCAAGGTTGGTGAAGCCACAAATCCAAAAAACTGTGAGGGCAAAATTTTCTGAGTGAGAATTGTGAACTCTTGGAACAATTTGCCAGAGAGTGTTGTGACGGTACCGAGTGTGAGCTCTTTCAAGACCAGACTTGACCAACACTGGAGCAGGTTCAGATACATTCAGGAGCCAGTGAATGCCCAGTACTTGCCAACAGTGCGTATCAGAGACGTGACTGATCACCCAAGCGGCTAACGAGCCGATCAGTGGTGAAGAGGACAAAAATTAAAGCAAAAGTAAACGCTTCTGTGCTTCACCTTGCACAGGATGAAAGTGGGTGCCCAATAAAGTAACTCCCTCGCAGGGCAAATTGTAATTGTATAAACTACGGCACTCAGTCATGGGGATACTAATCAAATGTTTTGTCGTAACTGACCAATCAGGAACTCAAACTAGCTGGGTTTCATTTTCATCCATTTCCAACTAACGATGAAAGGTAAGTGAGGTGCTAATTCACCTGTTAACGTGGAAAGGATGTTATGTTCGTCGGACACCAGAGGGCCAGAAGGGGTACATTTTTGTTAAGGTATTAGCCTGATCTCACTATCTTACTTTTATATCTTACTATTATAGGATATTTAGTTCAGGTCATGATTTTATACCCAAATAATGTCAATGACCAACAGATCTCTCGCTCTTTATGTAGTTGTAAAGTGCTGTCACAAATACTTATAGACGATCCTGATAGTAACTCTTCACTGGTAACAAACCCGAGCATAGTTTATAAGGGTTACTCTTGTGATTATCTCGGTGTACCTAATATTTAGTTATAATTTTCGTCTCACGTTTTAAAATTTTCTCTTGGCTGCGTATTCAACCCTCTGTCCACCTTTCATGACTAACATGTATCGAGATATATATTTTTTTTATTTATGAAAGTTGCTCACATAAACTCGCCACACTGGGTTATATTTCAATAGGAAAATGTGTTTCGCTACCTTGAGAATAATAAGATTCGAATATAAGCAAGTCAAAAATTTATATTTCGTATTAAGTATATTTCAAAATACAATCTTGAGACATTGATCCTAAGCGCGGCTAGTTTTTTGCCAATAATTCTATAAGAAGAACTTACTTTATCGGCCAAATGTCATAAATAATCTAGGAAAGAACTTCACATCTTTGGGAACATTTCTTGTACAGTTACTCAAAAAAACTATCTGTACAAAATTGCATTAAAAAAATATGACACAACAGACGAAGGTTTTTGGCAACCCTACCTAGACATCGACCCCACCAAGTATAGATATTTTTTTGAGATACCGTACGTATTTAGAACGGACGTTTGTCAAATGTAACATATCTTCTTTAGCGTGATCTTCCTACACATGACTTTGCTTTCTCTCACCAGCGTGCAGGATCTCGTCAGTCTTCAGTTCCATGTCTTGGGGCTTCTTCTACCAGAGCCTCTTCACACTCATTGGCTCAGCCTGTGGGGGGTTTCTCATCCAGAGGTAAGCACGAGTGTGTCCCTTTTGTCTGAAGTGGATGGTATTTACCGCCAAGTGTGTCTCGTTTCTATGCGGTCAGACACTCCTATTACGTAGCTCTTACTTTATTGCTGGAAACAGTGGAGTGATGGCTGTTTTTTTTTCGTAATAATGTTGATGTGATTTATTTAACCGGTGTCTTCGAAATAAATAGAATCTCTGGTTTTTAATCGGAGTGGAATATATCTATCAGGGATTTATTTTATTCTTTGTTGAACTGGGTATAATTCATGATGGATTGTTAGCTTGTAAAGATGATCGGGATATTCCTCTCAAAATATGTAGGTGTCTTCTCAATCCTCGCCCATAGCTAACACTTGCACGACTTGTTCTTTGTTGTGAGGACGACTGGGAACTGTCGATATCTTGCTGAGGATTCTAAGATTATTTATGATTTTGATTACCAGTTTTATGCCCATTGGTATATCTGCATCATTCAGTTTTTCCACTCACCTTGTATGTTATATTCCCCAACACTGCACAAGTCCGTACCTTTTTCTGGTCATTTCACAATCCCATCCTCGTTCTTCCTCGTGGTCGCATCCAGTCCATTTTTCCCTTCCATGACATGAGACATTCTTATCTTGCTACCTTTTCAACTACTACTTTCTTAGAATCTCCATCTGCAACTGTAATTCTCGCTCACCTGTTCCATGTACAAGTTTCCAGTTGTTTTCAAGTTATTCTTCAATTATATTCAGCTAACTTGTTAGTGGAGATAGTCTACTAACCCTCTGTGTACGGGCTCCTCTCCGAGCTGAATAAAATCGTCTGGTATTACGAAATTAAATATTAAAAGTGACATCTCCGAAGTGAAGGGATTAAAATCCTTTTCAAAGTCCACAAAGCACATAAATACTTCTTTACCAGTTTCTAAGTTCCTTTCACACAACTTCCGTATCACTCTAATAGTACATCTCGTTCCATATATCTCTTCACAATCCAAACTGATTTTTGCTGAAGAATATATTTGTCTTTGTCTTCCATCGTTTTGTTTTTCCAACACTCACGGTACGACCTTAGATGCGTGTGGGATTAGACTGATTCTACACTGTGGCAGCCATTGATCTAGCAAAGTCTTTGAGTCATCCTCCCTCGTGTGTATATCCTCTGTGAACTCCATGAACTCCTTCGTCCCCCTTTTCAGAGCTTTCTTAAAAGTTCTGCAGGAATTACAACGATTTCCTCAGTCTTTTCACTTCTCATTCCTTTTTAATTACTGCCCATATCTCACTTTCAGGACGATCTGAGCAGTTGGCATCATTTCCAAGCTGCTCTCCTCTGGCTCGGTGCAAAGTCTTCTATTTTTGTCTTGTGATCTGGTTTTATATTTGTTCGATGTAAAGTCGGGCTCAAAAGTTTTCTCCCTAACAAACTGAAGCAGTATCAACTCCAAATGAGATAAAACAGCACACCCGCACCAGATGACAGTCAGTTCGGATACTCATTCCCGTGACTCAGTTTACCACAAGGAGCAAACTTTTATCCTTGACTGTACAGTACAATCTCCCACAAAAGACCGCTAACCTGCTTCAATATTCTGAATCCTAAATCAAGCCTTTGAACTACGGCCGACTGTCCGCCCTCTGGCTCAGAAGTTTTAAAATACAGGAGCCACAGATGGCACTCCCTGTGTACGCAACTCAAATATGAAAGTAAATGACGACTTAGGAGATGCAAAGCCTGGTATGACTACATAGTTTAATAATGGAATGAATTACATTTTTGTTAGAAATAAATTATATAAATATTTAAACAGTCAGCTGTAGGTAAAGAACTTGTCATAAAAAATCCTGCTGTGTTGCAGGAAAACGAAAGGATCGTCAAGAGAAGCCCTTTAATATAGGCTGTACAGAGGCAAATATCACCAATATACGAGGCTTAATAATGAAATGCGGATGTAAAAAGCTAACCTAACATAATGTAAAATAATCTAGGGGAGAGACAGATAACCTCACCTTCTCACTCAGAACTCCAGGATGAGAACAAGGGAGAAAAAACACCCAAAGCGCAGAGAAAATTATTCGTCAATGGAATATAACGATACAAAAATGGTAAAAAACTAATTCTAAGAAACTAGCGGAGACAGAAGATGGTGATCGTCTACTTTACATTTACCTTCATTTCCTTTACACCATTTGTTGGCCACACTATTACCCAACATTAACCAAGAACATTCAGGCCAGATTATTGGCTCAAAAATTTCCTTCTCCCACTTAACCATTTCCTCCATCTTACAAACTTTGTAAGAGATTTGTTTCTGTTATTTTGTTAAAAAAACCAAGTCTCAGCACCAACAACAGAGTAGATCAAGTCTCAGCACCAACAACAGAGTAGATCAAGTCTCAGCACCAACAACAGAGTAGATCAAGTCTCAGCACCAACAACAGAGTAGATCAAGTCTCAGCACCAACAACAGAGTAGATCAAGTCTCAGCACCAACAACAGAGTAGATCAAGTCTCAGCACCAACAACAGAGTAGATCAAGTCTCAGCACCAACAACAGAGTAGATCAAGTCTCAGCACCAACAACAGAGTAGATCAAGTCTCAGCACCAACAACAGAGTAGATCAAGTCTCAGCACCAACAACAGAGTAGATCAAGTCTCAGCAACAGATAGGGTACATTTAGGCTTAACACTGGTCAACACCATACTGAGTTTGTGAGCTAAACCACAGATGGAGGTAAAATGACACACACGGGTCGAAACAGTTTCGGTTTAGGCAGCCTCGGGAAGGTTACCGGACATTTGTTGCTGACTATATCTCTTCAACCTGACTAACCAAGTCTGATATATTAAATATGTTAAAATTTTCACTTTTATCAAGTTCCTCTGTTGCTGTTTCGTCCTCCTCTTAGCTCTTTCATCTTTGCGTAGACAAAATCAGATCTTCGTCTATCCAAAATTCTCCCGTTTCGTCACACACTTTTCGGTATCAGCCCTCATGTGCCATTTCAGCTCCCCTCTTAAGTTCATCTTTCAGCTTTTTCTATTTCTCACATTCCTCCAACTTGTTCCTCGTTTTCTTTCGTTCACTTCATAGATTATCTCGTCTGGGAAGTATAACTTTTTGCTCTATTTTTGCTTTCCTTCACTGTCTTAAACTTTGCCTCATTTTAATCACTAAATTATTGTATGGAAGTTAATTATTAAATACTTTACAAATAGATCATAAATAAATCAGTGGTCCGGATTTGGAGGACTGACTGGAAGTGGAAAGAAAAGTATCTTAATCGTAAGGTTTTTGTTTCATCAAATCCAACCCTTCAAAATAGTATCAAAATCCGACGCTACATAAAAGTATCTACTAACCCTCCAAACATAGTGTCTAAATCCAACAGTTCAATTTATTACCAAAACTCGTTGGTTTCTACGAGGGCATTAGGGAGAGTCTATGACATAATTGAAATTTAATTTTGCTGAACACCTGTCATCAAAATCAACACAGATTCAGTGTCACCTAAACAAATTTTTTTTTAAATAATTATGCTACCACCGTCAGCTACAAAGATACAGTAAGAGCATAAGAACATAAGAATGGAGGAAACTGCAGCGGGCCTATTTGTCCATACTGGGCAGTCCCGTTTACACCCAACCCCTATTGCTCATATCCATCCAACCCATGTTTGAAGCTATCCAGCGTATTCGCGTTAATGATGATGTTTGGTAACTTGTTCTACTCATCCACTACTCTATTTCCAAACCAATGTTTACCTATCTCGCGCCTAAATCTAAATTTGTCTAATTTAAAATCTTTGCTACGAGTTCGCTCCTGGTTGGATAGTTTGAGTACCTTTGTTATATCACGTTTGTTTAGCCCTGACTTCCATTTATACATCTCAATCATATCGTCCCTCACTCTACGTCTTTCGAGGGAGTGCAAATTAAGATGCATTAACCTTTCACACAAGGTTCCTAATGCCCGGGATTAGTCTTGTCATTCTCCTCCGAATTCTTTCTAGAGATTCTATATCCATTCTGTAGTACGGTGACCAGAACTGAACTGCGTAATCCAAGTGAGGTCTCACAAGCGCAAGATCTAGTTTTAGGATGCCCTCGCTAGTCTTGCAACTAACACTCCTTTGTATGAACCCAAGTACTTTGCTAGCCTTGTTTCGAGCAAATACACTCTGTTGACTTGGTTTAAGATTCCTACTTATCATTACTCTTAAATCTTTCTCACAGTCGGATTTCCCAATTGCAACATTGTTCATCTGATATCTTGGTTTATCTGTTTACATCTCCTAGACTAAGTACCTCTGAATTACCGGACCCTGCCATTTGGAGGTTAGTGGTTCATCCTGACTGTTCCTAGTTAGTGGTCCCTGACCCCCCCCAACCCCCCGCTGTCCCTGACGGATGGCACCATTTCTCAGCTCCCAGGATTACACCTCCGGTAATGACCAGACATTAGTTCAACATTGTAACCAGTTGTGTTCTTGAGACTCTTTTTAAATGTTTTGACAGTTGAAGTGAATCCCAATCTGCCACAGTACATGACACACCAACATAATACTATCGAAGCAGTTATTGGTGAACATTACCAACCTCATATCCTCGCTCACGAAGGCTTATCCCGCATGTTAGTGACAGACACAAAAATACGACCACTTATTCGCTTTAAATGTAATACTTTACTTGTGTACGGAAGCTAAGTGTTGCATCATGAGGGAGGTGAGTGTTGCATAATGAGGGAGGTGTGTGTTGCATAATGAGGGAGGTGTGTGTTGCATCATGATGGAGGTGAGTGTTGCATCATGAGGGAGGTGAGTGTTGCATCTTGAGGGAGGTGTGTGTTGCATCATGAGGGAGGTGTGTGTTGCATCATGAGGGAGGTGAGTGTTGCATCATGAGGGAGGTGTGTGTGTTGCATAATGAGGGAGGTGAGTGTTGCATATCATGAGGGAGGTGAGTGTTGCATCATGAGGGAGGTGTGTGTTGCATCATGAGGGAGGTGAGTGTT